CTAGGCTCTCAGAGAACCAGGGGGGAAGAGCCAACCATAAATGTTATATGCCAACCCATACCCTAAGCTGAGCCCTGTTCAACTGCAACTGCCATAGGAGTTTAGGATTTGTCCCATGAGGTCAAAAACAATACAGATGTTCAGTAAAGAAAGACTCAGGCAGAAAAAGTTCTAGGCAGGTAACAGTGTGTTTGAAAATATACACATAACAGTGTCTCTGCTGTTCTTTTGTAATCCATACACACACACATCATACACGAAAAATGTTGAAGAGTCTCCTGTACATAAAACCACATAAATTTGGTAAAATTGTGTGAAATCATTGTTGTTCTTAAAAAGGAGGTCCCTTTAACAAATTTTTACACTGTTAGGATGTTATGAACAGTCCTTTAAGCCATTAATAGACCTATTATGTCCACTTACATTCTGCTTTATTAAGGTAAAATTGCAGCTAACATGACTACAAAACAACAAGGTAAAGTTGATGACTTTACCAGCTCCTTCAAACGTCATGATTTATCAACATTTAGCCCTGCATAAGGTATTACTGGTTTGGTATGCAATGACAGGTCTGTAGTTTCCACTCTTATTTTCAGAAATACAGATATATACCATGGACAGAGACACACACTCTGCTGAATATGATAAGTTAAATATTCCACATGGCTAGGAAGATAGTAGAGCCAGAAGGAGAACCTTCATCTGCAACTTCTCTGAAAGCATGTAATTTTTGACAATCTTTTAAATATTTATCCTCATACCCATAGGCAACATTGTCTGTGAGTGTCAGAAAAAAAGTATCATTTACATCACCATTACAGAACTCCAAAACTGCTCAAATTGCAAAGAACTTATAGAATTTTCTTTAGAGCCACCTGATGAATCCAGAAACTCATCATTATTCTTAGAATAAGAAAATATTTCATGCAATGGCCAGACAAAGTTCATAATAAAACGAAAAGAATGTCTGCTGTGAAGACGGTGTGTCCTAAGAAAGATAAGGAATTAAAAAGCACAGTTATTAGAAAAGTTGGGTGCCAAAAATATTACATGAAAGCAAGGAAAGAACCAAAATGGTTAATACAAGAGAACAAAAAATGGGGTTGTGGATATAGCTCAGTGGTGGAGCACTTGTGTAGCAAGCACAAGGCCCTGGGTTCAGTTCTCAGCTCTGAAAAAAAAAAAGAATGAAAGAAAATCAAAATCTCACCATTAGCAGAAAATTTTTTACAAATATTGGATGATAAGAAAGAAACAATCCATTTATACTGTACATTAACATTGATAGGTCTTTCAACTCCAACAGGTCAATACTGAAATGGCTACAGCTAAACACTACATTCTCTAAACTGTTTGAGTTAGTAATGTATTCATTTGTATATACACAATTTGGTAAAATAATTTAATTTTAAATAGAAGTATCTATTTTAACAATTTACAATGCAGATGTTACATTGAACAATGGAGAAAGTGTAAAATATTCTAAATGCAGTACTGATACATGAACTTCTAAACTGTCGAGAAAGTGTACACAGGCATATGTATCTGTGTATATGTATACATATGCAAAAGCAAACTCATACATATACACATACATAAACTTCTATAATGTCATAATGTATTTGAAATGCATCATAGAACAAGTGGAGAGATATTGTGAAAACTGAATCCCTTATACTATGAAGGGTGTCAGTATTTTCTCACTAATGTGGCTGTGATGTGTTATTTGTTTTAATTCATGGCCTAATTTATACCTTTAGTGCCAAACTGGAGCTTAACAGACCATTTCAAAAATATATTTAGGCCGGGCGGTGGTGGCGCACGCCTTTAATCCCAGCACTCGGGAGGCAGAGCCAGGTGGATCTCTGTGAGTTCGAGGCCAGCCTGGGCTACCAAGCAAGTCCCAGGAAAGGCGCAAAGCTACACAGAGAAACCCTGTCTCGAAAAACCAAAAAAAAAAAAAAAAACGAAAAAAACGAAAAAAAAATATATTTAACACCTCCCAATATAATGGGGGAAAAACCATTTTTTGAAGTCCCTACAATCTTATGTCATCATAGTACAGAAATCTATCTGTTGCTACTTAGAATCTTCACTGGGATTGACTATATGTGATCGGACTGAAGGTTAATCTACATGTTAGTACATTAAAAGGAGGAGAAACAAAATTACTCATTCTCATGAGCTACATACCCTAAAAGAGAAAATAGTGAGCAATTCTCAAATACATTTTTGTCACAGAGGACAAATAATTGGGAGGAATCAAGTATTTATGAGGGATATCATTAAGACCATGAAATGGAAGAAATACCCCACCCTGCATTTAATGGCCAAGAACCTGAGACTAGAATGGTTACAGACTTATACAAAGACAATTTCTTTCCTTCTGCAAGGGTCATATAGAAGTAAACTGAGTCCTGATGATATTGATAAACTCATATATCTGTGCATCACTTGGCCTTCATCAGAGATGTTACTTCAGGCAATAGTTGGGAAACATGATGTTTCATGTCTTCATTTCTGCCAGAGATCCCCATGCAATTGTATTGAAAAGATGGCAGAAAGATTCCAACAAATTCAGAGGTGTTTGATGATTCCAACATACCAACAATTTCCAGTATGAACTTTACTATTAGACATAGGAACTCAGAGTCTGAAGGTGGAAACTCAAGACAAGATCTTCACTGGTTCAAAGCATATAAAAAGAAATACCCAAGAAAAAAAAGGATTCTGGTGTTTATTATATTCAAGGGAATATTGAATATCTCTCTTCCAGCATGAATAAATAATTGATTTCCAACAAAGCTCAAAGCCCTGTCTGATGTCATAGACAGGAATGGGCTGACAAGCAAGAAAAGATCATGTACAAGAGATTCTGTGTGTCAGAATACAGTGATAATGCAAACCAAGAATGCAAAATTGAGCCTCTAAGAACCTAATGACAATAGGATGATAACAAGTAAGTTTCCTGTGCTCTACTTTATTGTGCATACTTTATTGCCTTTGGTGACAAATATAGTAATGTCTGCAGATGTTGCTGCTCCATATTTTCAGTGACTCTAAGGTCTCTGAATAAAAGTACAATGCCATAACCATTCCCACAATAAATTTCACAGGGTAGAGGAAAGAGCAGGATTTCGCTAGTCTCTGCCAGATACCAAAGCCTGAAGTAAATTCAAACTGAGACAGGGATGCCACGTCTTTAAAGAGAAGCAGTAGCTGCAGAAGCAGGAATCTGTTTGCTGCACATTTCACAGGATCAGGTGACTCAGATCTGTAATGCTGGGAATAATACTACCTCTGATTTTGCTATTTTCAACAGGCACTGTCTCCCCTTGTATGTCAGGAACATTCTGCCTTGTCTGAGCCAATGTACAATCAGGTTTTGGCTATACCCATGAGCAACCGAGACCCAGAATACAGCCATAGGCTGACTGGTGAGAACCTGCTCTGCTGACAACTTTATTTCCTCTCCTTGCCTCTGACTGAGGAGTGTGTGCTTTCAAATTGTCGTTGGAATAGGACCCTGTTGGAGCCCATTTGGGCTTTACCAAGAAGGTCTGATTAGAGAGGATGATTGGACCACGGGCTTGAATGCAGGTGTCTGAGATGGTCTGCACTTAACTGTTGAGGGGGAAGGTCTTTTGATTCAACCTTTGTCATTCCTTTAAATACCCTAGGGCAGACACAGTAGATGCAGGATGGATTAGGATACAGCCTGCTTGAGGTTTTCCTGTATTTTCTATTTGTTTCTCTCCCCTCTATCCTTCTAACTAATATTTCCTGCTGCTTCTACTCAAGAGTTCTGTGGGAAAATGTGGGGTTGGGGCATGCACCCTCCAACAGGAACCAATATGAAGAGTGAACTCAATTCCACCAATGGAAAGCACATCCTGGGGTACTCTTTGAGATCCCCTTCAGAGCTGCTGAGTCATTTCACCCTCCCAAGTATATGTATGCTGCACCAAAACAACGAAACTGAAATGATTTAATGTATTTTAATGTATCCTAGGCCCAGAATGCAATTGTCAAAAGAGAAAAGCATCCTCTAGTATGTGGAAGATGATCATATATCCAGGTACATGGCCCTGCATTCTGGCTATCTACCTGAAAACCTTGCTTTCCACCTGCTGATGGCTGATTGCTGTGATTCTGGACTGCCAAATGTACACAGGATAAAATGTTACTTACCCAGGGCACTGCCTCCAAGTAACAGCAGAAAATTGGCTGATGGAGGCTGGTGGGATGAGTGAGTTTCTAGTTGCTCTGACCTAGACTCTCACTGCTTACAAGAATGTCTTCATTCCTCTCTGGACTTTGCTGATTATGACTCTGGGCTGCCAAGTGCATCTGACTGCTGTCTCTGTGATCAGTTTGTGTCAGTTTCTATTGTGGTTTTTTTATGTAGATGAATAATACATAGTACAGTATAATACAATATAATATACTATATAATTATGCATATTTATTAGAGTGTCTACAAAAAGCTGTGAGGACTCCTCAGGGACTAACCAGGTAATTTTTTTTTCTAAACTTCCTCTTCTGCCTTGCCAGCATGATGTCAGATCCAAGAGGCAATGGCAGATTCAACAGGACTCAAAACAGAAGAATTCAGAATGTCTGTCTACCTCAAGAAGAGCCCTGTTCCATTCCGCCCAATATTATCTAACACCCATCGAGTTACCTGAAAGGAGATCTGAGGGACAGGGCTCACCCATTCCTTTTCACCTGCCACCCATAGCCTCTATCTTTTTTACTGTACTTACAAGTGTAGAATGTTATGATTTCTAGCCCCTGCCCCCAGCTACATGAACATGCATGCACTGTCCATCAGTCAGGCACAATGCTTTGTCATCACAGGGTCTTGCATCCTACAAAATCCTACCTTTCAGGTAACAGTTTCAGATACACCATTTAGATTCCCCAAATACACTTATTTGTGGAATTTGGCACTTGAAATTTTCAAAGTCCCAAGTGGTAAAGTGAGAATGGTAGCTGACCTAGTCATTTTCTTAGTGGGTCCTCTGAGGAGCAGATGAGCAATATATCCCTGGTTTCTGTCAGGTATTGTTTCCCAACATAAATCTTCCTTGCAGATAGTGCATGATGAAAGACTGAGGTAGTGATCACAGATATTAAGGATGAAGCAGTGGCTTCAGAAGAAGGATCACATTTCCTGAAAAACAAATAGGTGTAGGTGATTCAGCACAGGAGTGTGGGAAATCCCACCAAATCCTTGCCCATCCTAGGTCTCTGTTGCCTCTGTCTGCTGCAGGTCTCTGGGACAGTTTTCCTTCTCTTGTGTTGTTTACAGCCAGGCTTTGGCTAAATCCAGCTAGGAGCTGGACATTAGCCAGGAGCCTGGCTGGTAAAACTCTTAACTGCAAGCATTTTTATTTGACCTGACTGTCCCCTGTTCAAATAGACATGGATTAGGAACCAATACGGAGAAAGATGTCCAAATTAGGAATGGAGAGCAAATGACTGTAGTGAATTTGGAGATCTCCATCAGATTTGCTGACTCATCAATCCCTCCCCCCTCTCTGTGTGTTTTAAATGAATCAGGGAAACTGAAAGGGGAACACAGGATAAAATGCAATTTACCCTGGGCTCTGCCTCCAACTAACAGTAGAAAACTGGCTGATCATGGCTCTTGTGTTGTTATGAATCCCAGTCACCTCCTAACTACATGACTGTACGTCCTCTTTCCATCAGTCAGGCAGATAGCTTAGTCATCCCAGTCCTTGCCTACTGAGTAACCCTGTACTATGTGATCATGTAATCTGTATGAAGCTTGACCACATAGTCTATGCTCCTGAATGACATAACTATGTAAGCCCATATGAGTATGCTATAGGGGGAGTATAAAAGCAGTTTCCATCTGTTCCCCAACACCTTTTTCCACACCAATTCATTTGTAGTAGGCCTATTGCACAATCCCTCTTTTCCCTCCCACAATAATAACTCTTATAGTGGGTTTCATTGTACCTCTTGTTTTCTCTTGAATGGCAAATAGCACTATAAATGAATAACATTGGTGTTGCATGACAAAGAAGACCCTCCCAGTACCTTGTGTCCAGAGCCTTGTATCAAGGTTCATTCATGTTCAACTGCCACTTCCATATGCCTGGTCACCAGAAGACTTATTCTATTGGTAAGTTTTTTCTATACCAGCCAACTTAAATAGTCCCCTGGACTCATTGGAATGACCATTGATCACTTGGTTTCCTTCAGATATTCTTGGGACTGGGGAACACCCATCCACAGCCTTTTTTTTGGCTATCGTCATCCCTCAATACAGGCTAAACCATTAGCCATTCCCCAGGACTGAAGTCTGAGACATCACTCTCATTTTTCCTTGTCTGTAGGACCCTCGTCCTTGAGCTGTTGACTCAGCCCTCACTCTTCTTGCTTCACAAAGTGCTGAGTGACTTGTGCCAAACAACCGATCATCACTCAATCTTGGGAACACCTGGGATTTTAGCCTTTGGACCACATTTATTTATTTATTTATTCATTCATTTTTCAAATAATTTAATTATTTAATTAAATATTTACTTTCTTTATATCCAAGCCATGGGAAACAAGACTTCCAATCCCATTAGCCCCATATCTCCTTTGTTATGGCTTTTAGAAACTCTTAAATCTCTCAGCTTAATGCCTTACTTAAAGACTTCTAAGCTTATCTGTCTTTACACTAAAAATGGCCTAAGAATCTCTTAGACAACAATAAATAATGGCTACCTAAGGCCAAGTGGACCCCGATATTTTATGGGAATTACCTAACTTCTGCCAGCAAACAGGCAAATGGAAGGGGTTACCTTATATCCAAGCCTTCTTCTATCTCAGCTCCAAAAAGACCCTTCTTGTTTCCTATTCATCTTCCCATGTGTTCCTATCTATGCAACATGAACCTGAGGAACCTCTTATTACTGCTTTAGACACTTCTTATGAACCCCTGCCTTTATCATCTCCCCTTTTCTTTTCTTGAGCAACTGCTCCTTCAGCTCCTCCAGCTCCTTCCCCATCTCTGATATCAGAAGTCTCCTACTGCCCGAGTCTGCCCCCCAACTTTACTCACCTTGTCATGGATTATTGAGCTGCTAAGGAACCCAAACCCAGTCAGGCCAACCCAGTGGCTGTTCTCTCTTTGCGAAAGGTTGCCAGGGTATATAGACTGGTTAAGGTACATGTCCCTTTCTCACTGGCAGAACTTTCTCAAATAGACAAAATACTGGGTTCTTATACCTCTACTTCTACTTCCTTTTTAAAACAATATAAACATATTTCTCCTATAGTCTCACCTTTCATTTTATATATATATATATATATATATATATATATATATATATATATATATTATTCTTGCTAATAACCTACTTCCTGAGGAGAGTAGACAAGTTTGGGAACAGGCTAGAATATATGTGGACAAGGTCCACCAGACTAATGCAGCCCATCCTCCTGGAGGGGAGGTGGTTCTGGATCAGGTCCCACATTGGTGTTATAATATCTTAGATGGCTCTCTACCTAGGCATCACTTTATGATCTGCTTTGTTGCAGGTCTTCCTAAGGTTGCCCTCAAACCAGTGAAGAATGAAAAGACAAAGCACATAATTCAAGGTAAGTGGAGAACAAGTCTCATTTTCTAGAATGACTTGCAAAGTCTCTCCTACAATAAATTAACCTAGATCCTGAGAGCCCACAGGGCAGACACTCCTTATGCCCCACTTTGTCTTACAGGGCTTCCCCAAACTTAGGGTCAAACTTAGGCTTCCTTAGAAAACACCCCTGACCCCACAGGCTGAAGTCTTAGCAATGGCTTTTAAGGGGTACCATGGGAGAGACGAGAAAGCCTGAAAACAAGACTGCCAAAGGCTGGCACAGGCTATCCAACCAGCTACACATAGGCCTCCAGGTCCCTGTTTTAAATGGGGTAGATCAGGCCATTGGGTTTGTGCCTGCCCTGCTCCATGTAGGCACCTGGGTCTTGTCCAAAATGCTATCAAAATCGAAATAGGTCAGTTGACTGCCCCTGTGTACCTCATGGCATGGGGACATCAATCAAAGACCACACTCTAGACAATTTTGTAGGCTTTGCAGCCCTGACCCATCAACAGTAATGTTTCACCAGGAATAGAGCAGCCATTATATTATTAGTTTGACCCATTTCCTTCCTTTTGCCCCTTGGATCCACTTACTCCATCCTGTGGGAGTTTTGGGGTATCACCAATCATTCCCATCTCCTTATTGTCTGGGTAGGGGGACAGCCCCAGCTCCCTCACCAAACCCCACCACTTAACTGTTTTTTCAGGGGTATATTTCTTTCCCCACACACTTTTGGATGTGTCAAGCTGCCCTGTGCCCCTAAAGGGAAGAGTTTTTTTAGCTAAGGCAGGAGCTTCTATTTCGTTTTCTCCCCCATTTACTTACCACAGACTTGCCAGCAGCTCCTCTCCTCCTCTTCCTATCCACTTAGCCCACTAACTCTAACATGTCATTTTCCTTTTCAATCTCTCAGGTGGATCCCATTGTCTTGGAAACCCAGAACCCTTCTGTTGCTAGACACCATCTCTCTATCTTTATTCAGTTGCAGCACACTACCTGGTACATTACTCAAGCTCAGTACCCTCTCTCACTCCAGAGCTTAGAGGACTTAAGGCTTTCATCTCTGAACTTCTCAGAAAAATGCTACTTCACCCTACCCCTTCTCCTTTGAACTCATACACTTACAGTTAAGAAGCCTAATAGAATATACCACCTGATTTAAGACCTGCATGTAGACCAATTTATAGATGATCTTATTAAATAAAAACATGAAGCCAAATATAGGGGTGAAAGACTTAAAGATCAGAGAAATAGGAAAAGTCACCAGCCAACCTTACCTCACCAACCCTGAAGCTTCCAAGTGCAAGCTTCTTCCTGTCTTACCCACACCTTCATTGACTTGCTGTTCTGCCCTCTCATTGGCTAGCTTAGTCCAGCTACCTCACTTCCTTCTCATTGTGTCTGTACAGACATCCAGGTCTCTACGGTTGGTACTGGGATTAAAAGCATGTGTCATGACACTTGACTCTGTTCTAGTATGGCCTTGAACACTTGACAATTCATACTCAAGGAATATTTTGTGCAGTATTAACTAATGAATATTGAAATTTTGGAACAGTTCACTACATTCCCTTCACTGAAATTCCAATATGATCACCATTATCATTCCTTCATCCTTATTTTATATACTAACTCTCTTTTTACTGACAACTGAATTCAGTTAAAGCACGTGTGTGTGTGTGTGTGTGTGTGTGTGTGTGTGTGTTATGGGGCCATCTACTACCACATGAGCAGCTTCTCAGATGAAAAAATCTGTTTCCTCTTTCATCAATTCATTGAATAATGTAAGCCACTCTGATAATATATGGCTTCATGATTCTTCCTCAAGATATAGGAGAATGTTTGCTGCATTATATAGTGAAATAATTTTGTATGAAAATCCAGGTAATGTGAATCAATTGTACAAGAATGCTTAAATACCAATCAAATACTAGTTGCATGAAGATATGTATTAACAATGGCAGATTGACATCGTGTTTCTAACATGTATACAATTTTCCAAACATGGTATGCAAGCTGGCCAGTAAAATTCAGAGGTGTTACTGTTAATGCCTATGTGTCATATCCTGGTATAGATGCTACTGCTACTATTCATGCCTTTTGTATGTGTATTCTGGAAAGAGCTTCCAGTTTTTCTTGTTTCCAAGCAACCAGGCTGCTGACAGAGCCTTCTCCAAGGCTGTGCATATTATAAACTTAGAAGCAAAAAGTAAAATAATGGAATATCAGTCAGAGAGGACACAAATTTTCCTTTTATGTTATCAAGTGTACAACAACTTCTATCCTATCTCTGATCTATCCTTTGCATTTCCCCAAGTTTCAAAATTTGTTATCTGACTACTGGATTAAACCTTTAGGATCAATAAATGTGTCTCTTTTTCATAATCCTCAAATGTATGGACCAGGGGTACCACTGAGGCATTCCCTACATAGAAAAAGCTCAGAATTCTGTCAAATTATGTTTTATCATCATTCTTGTTGAAAATAAGATCCTTTTAACAACTTCTTACACTGTTAAGGACATAGAGGCAGTCCCTTAAGACATTAATAGAGCTGTTACTGCTACTCATT